CAGACGGATGTGGCCACGGGCCTGGGGAGAACTTGGGCCATCAGGTGTACTCAGCTCTTAGCCCAGATGGGGACAGGGGCTGCCTTGTGCCCTGGAGCACGGCTAATTTGGCCCCCTGGCCACCAGGATCTGTCCTCCTCTGAAGAGACAGATTTGGGCAATCGTTTGTATAAAATGTGAGCAAATCAAACCAACACAGGTCTTTCAGAAGGCAGGGCAGGGTCATCCTGTGGCCTCAGCTGGGTGTCCCCAGCCTCCTCTTCCCACTTCCTGGTTCAGCGAGCTCGCTAGGCCTCAGCATCCCCAGCTCTGCCCCCTCCTGGGGGATTCGCTCTCTTTTCCCTGTCTCTCAAGACCCCCTCCTGCCAGGCTCAGCGCCTGCCCCCTCCTTCTCTCCCAACAGCCCTGCCCCTGCCCTGCTGGCCCCATCCATGTGCACTGATGGGGCAGCAAGCTCACAGTGCCCTTCAGATCTGTGTCCAGGAACAGATGCCCAGTCTCCTAACTATCGACGGCTCACTATCACGTTTAGAAGTTAGTCGTCATGAATCACTAAACACACAGAGGACACAGCAAGTGTATCGTCAAGAGTGGCCTCAGCTGTACATCTGTTTCATGTCAGAGCCCTGGCAGCTTGGCTATCCTAAACTTACGGTGTTAGAAATGTGCTCTTGTGTGGTTTATTCTGAAGAAACTCTGCAAGCTTACGAAGCCTTTCAAGAGTATGTTAAAAAGAAAAAAAAAGACCTAAAGAAAACTCAGTTGCAAAATGGCGATATCAGGGACTGTTTAATGCCCTGCTGCCCCTATTTGAAATATTAAAACACACCCAACAGCAGGGAAATAGCTAGGTAAACAACAACATGTTGAAGACCTGCATGTGTATGCAGTTACTGAAATATGGCTTAGGTGCGTATTTATGCTTTATACAAAATCATGCATTCCATCAGTGAGGACAGGAAGGAAAAGTAGAGAGCAAAACAGGTGATTTTCTCAGATGTACTCTTGAAGGATTATTTTTCTAATTCCTTTCTGGTGTTCTAAAATTTTTCCCAGAAGAAAAGCTAATTAAAAAACAACTCTCTAAAGAGAAGAATTAAGTTGAACCAACATGGTTTTAGGAAAGACTTCCTGAATTAGTGAAGGGTACCCTGGTGGCCAGAGTCAGCACCTGCTGGCCTGGGACAGGGAGCCTGCATTGCTGATACAGCCCCTTCCTGAAGCTGTCTGTTTTGTTGGGTTAGCGCTGAAGAGGTGGCACTGAAGAGGTGGTACTAGACAGGAGGAATGAAAGGAAGCCTACTTTCAGGATGCTGACTCTTTCGAGGTGTGACGCCGTGAGGAATAAACGCACCCCTTGGCTGGGTTCGGTGGCATATGGCTGTAACCCGGTAACTCTGGAGGCTGAGGCAAGAGGACGGCAAGATCAAGGCCAGCCTCGGAAATTTAGTGAGGTCCTCAGCAACTTAGTGAGACCCTGGCTCAAATAAAAATAAAAAAGGGTTGAGGATGCGGCTCAGTTGTAAAGCACCCTGGGTTCAATACCCAGTACCCACATAAGTAAATAATACTTATTTACTTATAAGTATTAGTAAATAAGCAAACACACTCGTGATGAGAGTATTCACCTGTATGGCACATAATGGCTTATGTTTCTAACTAGACCTTTTAAGCATACAGTCAATGCAACCAGGATGTGAAATGTGTTTAAGTTAATGTTACAATTAGAACATTGGCATTTGCATTTACTGGCCTTTTGTGCTTGAATTTGTAATGCTAACATTGCCTCAACAAGATTTTGTGTGTAATTTCTCCGGTGTTTTCTGAAGTGGCAGAAAGAAACAGAAAACACTCACTAACATTTGCACAAAAGCTTCAGGGGGCAGCAAGGGTCCCCTCGTGCAGTGGCAGCCCAGGCTGGGAACCACCCTCTGCTGGCCTCTGCCTGCTGCCTCCCCTCAGCCATTTGCCCCTGAAGTCTCCTAAGAGGCTTTGAATGTGACAGAAAGGGACAGTGGTTTGGATTCTGGAGTGCAGATATTGAACAGTATTTCTTCCTTCCATGAAACATAGGTTTCAAATATAGAGTTTAATTTCCGAAACGTAGTGACAGCCTTTGGTTAGATCAGGTGTTGGGGTCCATTGTGACCCTGTGTGGTTGGAACTCCTGGAGGGTTCTGCACACCAGATGAGGCGGTTTCAGGGAGGCAGAGATGATGGCTGGGTGGGCCTGCAGCTTCGGTGTGCAGGCCCCTGGGCCAGTTAGGTGACGGTGACACTCACCCCCTTGGACAATGTGCCAGGATGGGTGCTTGACAGGAGGGCAGTCAGGAGGGCGGGGAGCCAGGGGCGTGTGGCGCAGACGTTTCTGAGCCTGGGGGACTGGAGGTGAGTGCCTGGAGCTGGTCCTTGGGACTGAGCATCTTGGGACAAGCCTCGGCCTGGAGCCTTCCTCAGGCAGACACCTTCCTCCAGCGCTTTCCACAGCCCAGTGGCCAGGAACGTTGTGGTCTCTCCTTTCCAGGAGACTTCAAACAGGCGCTCCATGAACCAGGGCACAGAAGGCTGGCTTTGACTCCTCGGGCTCAGGTTGTCCTGGGTCGCGCATTGGAAGTGCAGGTTGGTGGCCCACATGTCCCTTTCTCTGCCAGAGAAATGGCAATGATCGCTGCCCTGGGCAGACTGTGCAGGTGGACTGCAGGCCTGTAACTGCAGCCTCCCCCTCTGCACTCTGGTGGGACCATGGGACGGCCTGCAGGTCACTGCACACTGGACGGAGATGGCACCCGGCCAGGGGTGGGAAGGAACGTGCTGTGCTTACTCTGGAAGCCTCGGGCAGGCACAGCTGGGGACAGAGCCCGGCCGCCTGCTCCAGGCTTGTGCTGCCCCTGCCTCTGAGCTCCCCCAGACTACTGAGCTGAGAAGACAAGGCCTCTTGAGCCCAGGGCCGCGTGCCGCTGCTTGATGGCCTACTTGCTAATTTATTTGCTGTACTGCGGCTTGAACCTGGGGTGTTCTGTCTCTGAGCTACATCCCCAGCCTCTACCCCAATTGTTTTTTTAAGTTTTAAGACAGGGTCTCCATAAGTTACCTAGGCTGGCCTTGAACTTGTGATTCTCTGCCCTCAGCCTGCTAGTCCCTGGGATCACAGGTGTGTACCACAGGGCCTGGCACGTTACTTATTTGTAAGGACTTTGTACCCTCTTCAGAGGGGTAGGGGTTTGACCTGAATTTTGCTAAATTTCAAAACAGATGTGAACACTCATGTCTAGCTGGGACATGATTTAAATATATATGTGCATATTCATACATATGTGCACATGCATTTGCTAATAGTTATGATTTTGGTGTTTCCTTCTTATTATGCAATTTCTTACATAGTTGTAATCTTAACACCATGCTTACACATAAAATTTGATTTTACTTTTTCAATTAATGTGGCATAATTACTTTTATATTATCACATAGTCTTTATAAACACTGCTTTTTTGAGACTAACTGCTATTTAATAGCTCTATCACTGTCCAGTTTTTGGATATCTCTGTGGTCCAAGTTTTGGAGCCATTTGGACTTAATAAATCGTAATGGTTTGGATATGAGGTGTTTCCCAAAGCTCCTGTTGATGCAGGAAGTTCAGAGGTGGATGGCTGGACTGGGAGAGCAGCAGCCTAAGCTTTTGAATGGACTGGCTGGGGTGACTGTGGGCAGGTGGAGGGACTGGAGGACCCTTCCTGCTCTGCGTCCTGGCTCCCCTAATGGAGCACGGCGTCCCCACCGCAGCCCTTCGCCACGATGTTCTGCCTCTCCGCAGACCCAGAGCAGTGCAGCCGGCAGGCAGGTGCTGGATCTCTGAATTCATGAGCCAGAGGGGACTTTTCCTCCTCTAAGTCCTTCTTGTTGGGTACTTTGGTCTCAGGAAAAGGTGACTAGCACCATCATCAGTGTTGTGAGCAACTTGTACTTATGCCACATTAGGCTCGAAAGCCTAACCTTGTGGGTGTTGGACGAGGCTGGCTGTGGCTGGGACAAAGAGGAAGCAAGGGAAGGGCACTGTGTCCTACGCTGCTGCGTGGACCCACCTTGGATCTGGATCTCACGTTTGGGGGAAGCAGGGGTGTGAGAGGAAGGGCCAGACTCGCGCCTCAGACAGTGAGTGACTCTGGGTGCTTGTGCTTGCTCATTTCACGCTGGGCACGTCTCCTGGGCGAGGAAGACCTGGAGCACAGGTTAAGTGCCTGCCGAAGCTGGCCTGGATGCTGGCACCTGACTCTCACCCATATCAAGACATCTGTGTGCAAAGGGGTATCAGTGATTTCCCCCAGTGTGGAAATCAATGGCACATTAGCACATTTAAACCATGGATCCATGATTGTATTGCATTATTTAATTATTTGTACACATTGATAAAGAAATCTCTTGAAAAACACCTCCCTTATTGTTTAAAATGCTGTTTTTCTTGACTTACACTTTCAACCAAGAAAATACACAAATGGCCAAAGTCCAGCTCTGGTTGAAATGGGGGCACCCACTGATGTACCCAAGTGGCCACGTGATTTCTGTGGAAATACTCCCTCCTGGCTGCCCAGGTGCTGGCTGGCCAAGAATCCTGTGTCCAGTGCTGGGCTTGCACTGTTGCTGTCTTAACTGTGGGGAGCAATGCCGACCGTTCCAACGTGGGACCACTTAGGATCAAGAAGTGTGTGGTGGGATCCTAGTGGCTTTGGCAACAGTCGGGGTGACAGGGCAGTAGTTAGTCCAAGGTGATTCTGGGAACATTCCTCCAGCTTTGATCCGATTGGCCGTGCAGAGCTGAGCTCATTTCACTCTCCTTTTGGAAACTGAGCACAGATTGTCAGGCCCATGGATGGCAGGGAATCGCTGCCACAGCCAGGCGGCCTGTGGCTGCTGAGACGCTGGTTATCATTGGCCGATGGCCGTGTTCGAGCAAGTCCTCGCTTGCATATCAACATCGTCCCTGACTCGTTTTGCTTTTTCTGAAGGTCGCCATAGGAAAATATTGCCATCTGATTGATTTATCTCCTCCCGAGATCCTCCATTGGTACTTAATGTGCAGCAGTGAGAGCGGCATGTGGAGACACCTTACCCAGCGCGGCAGATCTCCGGGTAAATTATCCGTGGTATTGGGAACTCGCAGGTCGTTGACTATCCCAATTTAATTTGGGCAGTACAGGACATTTCTAATAATTAATACTGTAATAACACTTAATGATCTGCACTCATGCAATCTGAAATTCCAGCTAATGGTGCAGTTTTTAGTGATTGCACAAACAGCAAGTTTTAAATGTGTCAAATGCTGCTATTTCAGCATCCCGGTGCCAAGCAGGAGACCCTGCCCGTGGGCTCTGGCTGACCCGAACCCAGAGCCTAGACATGGATGCGGCAGCGGTGGGCTGGGTCCCCAGGGAAGGGCTGCCTCTGCGGCGTGGGTGCTGGGGCAGAGCGCTTCCCTCCAGATGGAGAGGCACTTGAAAGCCGTGAGCAGCGGCACAGCAGAGGGAGAGGAAGCAGAGGGATTGGGGCAGGAGCAAGGCTGCAGACTCTCACAAACATCCTCAGAAAGGAGTTACTATTTTGGAGCCTGGCCGGCAGATAGCGCTGCATCTGCTGACCTCGCCCTCCACCCACGCTGCTGTTCCATTTGGACACATGAAACTGTCCTAGGCTCCTCTGCAGATGGGGGCCCAGCCTGTGCTGGGGACTACCCTTCCTGCAACGACGTTGGTAATTGCATGATTTTTTTGAGAGGTGCAGTACTGTTTTATTTATTTTTATTTTAATGGGAAGACATTAAATTATATTCCATCTACCATTTCATAAGAACAGAAAATGGTAAAACTGAATGAGAAATGCAGTAGTTGTTAGCCAGGCAATAATTTAATTTTGTCATTGTTTGTACTCACCCCGAATGCTACCTCCTTTAGGATTGCAATCGCCAATCATTATTTTAAAAAATAGGAAGTGAGACATAAAGGAATGTACAAGGAAAATGCCATTCTAGCTCCAGAGATTTACACTCTGCTTTTCCTTTCTTCCTTTCACAGTGCTCCCGGGATGGAGGGCCTGACGCTTGCGAGGCTGATCTTCTCATTATAGCATGCAGATGAAATGTCATCCGCTATCGGCTGTGATATAGATCCACAAGAGAGATATATAGATTTGCGTGGTGCCAGTAACACACAAATTGGCTTTCTAAAGCCTCTAGTATTTGAAATACTCTTTCACGAATATAACCAACTCAAAACAGCATCTAAAATATTTTAAAATTAATTTTAGTTTATATCTTGCATTTACAGAAAAGAAAAGCCAGGATTTGCAGTAGCAATTAATACTGTGAATTATCTGGTTCCCCTTCTCAGTTACATGTACCCAAACATGCTCCCGTGTGGCTGTCCACAGCTTTGTCCCACTGTTGGGGTTTTGTGCACTCCCAGGAAGGGACCTTCTGTTCATTGATTGGCATGAGTAGAGTCCATTAAAGAAGTCTAGATCTCAAGGAACACGAGGAAGACACCAGTGAGGCATTCCCAGCCCTAAGTGGGGCAAACGAGAAGGGAGGCTTAACAGAAATCAATGCTCTGGCTGGGGAGCACAGGGGGGCCATCTGTGCCTTTTGCAGAGGGCTCGTGCCTCCATCAGAATCCCTTCACCTTTCCGCCCTGTCCCGAGGCCTGCACACTCAGCTTGTGTAAGAGCAGGAGCTCATTACCAAGGGGATTAAATCAGCTGCTTAAAAACAAAAACCCCTCTCCATTCTGATAAAGCAACATTAAAGGTGCTTCAGTACACAGGAGCTTAGAAACTCAGAGTGTGGGCCCAGCCCTGGCCGGGACCTGGCCCTCAGTGACTCAGCTTTAGCACCAGCAATGAGATCCAGAGCATCAGCCACTGAACCCACAGTCCCTGCAGGAGTCCGGAGAGGGTCACCCTGTTTCATAGATGGAAAAGCAAGTCAACAGAGCAGCGGGGGTCCGAGTCTCGGCAATGCCCCAGAGGCGGTTCTTTCCACTCAAAGGGCCACGTCTTCCCTGGAATAAGAGGCTGTTTCAGGGTCTGAGTGAGGATGAGGCCACAGCCTGCTTTCCCAGGGAACACCCCGCTGCCAGCCTTCAGCCCTGCCTGCTGCCAGCCTCAGATGGTGTGACCTGGCGTTGAGTGGGCAGGCCAGCAACGCAGTCTGAGGTCAAGCACTGAGTCTGCTCCCAGTGAAGGAGGGCAGAGCCCCCTGCTCCCCGGCAGCCAGCACAGGAAGTCCCTACTCACTTCCACTATCTGCCCCCAAGTTCTGCAGAGGGCCACGTATGCATGGTGGCTGGCTTTCCTTTCTTTAAAGGAAAGTGCCCTTTTATTAATGGATGTACGTGTTTATAATGAACCGGGATCCATCTGCCTAGAGTGCAGCACTACCTGTTACCAGTTACACATCTATCTAAACATTGTTCATATAATTCAATACACGTAAGGGCGACCTGGGTCCAAGCCATTCTCCTAGATCTTAAAGCGTCCCCTCTGCAGTGGATGTGGCAGAGCTGCTCGGGGCTCTGAGCAGAGCATGCAGCATGGGAAGGGACACCGAGAGACAGGGATGCAGGGCTGGATGACCAGGCCAGAGGTGGAGATGTCAGTGAGTATGGCAAAGCCTGGTGTGTGGCACAGTTAAAGGAGAGTGTTAAGGTCGAGAGGACTAGATTTCCCACTTGCCAATGTCTTATTCCTATTGGCAAAATGTGCAGTGCGCTGGCACACACCAGTACCATCAGGGGGGAAACACGTCCAGCAGACACAGGGAGGCCAGGACCTCACACGTCAGCCCAGGCCTGACAGACCCCTGCTGGACATGCAGCTCAGCAGCATCAGTGGCCAGCGTTGCTGAGTGTGTTTTGTGACTGCCACACACTGGCCTTGCCTTGTCCAGCTTCACCATGGGACATTCTGTTGAGGTACAGGTCAGATAACTCGATCACGAAACAGAGCTGATTCCAAAGATGTGACCACAGCCTGTCTGTTCTGTGCCCTCCAGACACAGAGCAAAGATTCACACACAGGAAGCGGGACCATAGTGACCATGATGAGCTGCCGGTGCTCCTGGGCTCGCCCTTCTCCTGGAAAGCTGGTCTGGCCGGGAAGCGCAACACCACCCAGGGTCTCAGACTCTGGGGTTCACTTCTGCTGCATATTTCAACTCCCAGGTGTCCCGGGGCTGTTTTCTTCCTTCTTGGCTCCGACAGAGCGTGATGGGCAGACCCCGTGGCGTCACTCCACCACCCCCTCTGAGGTTGAGCACAGGGGAGGACTGACCTTGGGGTCAGAGCAGAGAGGAGCCCTCCCAGCCTACCCCAAGGCTGTCATGCCCTTGACCCCGGCAGGGAGGAGGAACCCTGTGCTGTGGGTTGTGACTTCATGGAAACACTGGACGGCACAAGTGAATCTTAGTGTCCCCTAGTGCTGACGCTGCAGCTGCTCTAGGGCTCCGCGTTCCGACGCCCAACACTGAGCAGAGACGTGGGCACTTGGACCCATGGCTAGTCCTGCTTCAGCCCAAGCTGTTCATCTGAAGTAGGTGGACAGACCCCCTCTGCCCATGAGGACGGCCACCTGACTTCTTTCTTTTTTTTCTTTTCTGTACTGGGGATTGAACCCAGGTGCTCCCCACTGAGTTAGACCCCCATCCTTTTTATTTTTATTATGAGGCAGGGCCTTGCTAAGTTGCTGTGGCTGGCCCAGCCCTTGTGCCCCTCCTGCCTAGGCTCCCGAGTCACTGGCGTCTCAGGCCAGCTTTCGTGGTCACTTCGGTCATCAGCAGTAGTGTCCGCTGCCCCTGTGCTCCTCAAGGTGGCTCCTGCTCCCCTGGGTCCTGGAAGCTGAGCTGAGTATTGTCCTTGAATCGCAGACCAAGGGGTGGGGCTGCTCGTAGGGCTCTGGAAGGAAGAGAAAAACACGCTTCTGCAGCACGTCTCAGCCGCACGCTGACTGTCAAAAGGACTCTGAACATCTGGGCAGCTGATGGATTTGCTGGTTCATTTGAGTCAAGGCCAGATGTTGGTCTCATGTAGATGTCGCTGAGACTTCAAGGTAGCTGTGGTGCAGAGACATCATCAGTGCCCAAAGTCAGTGCTGGCTTTCAGCCTATTGTAATCTAAGACACGCACACGCACACAGAGCGCATAGGATTGGAGAGAGGCACCACTCCATGAATGGTGAGTGCCTTTGTAGGCTTGAATAGAGGAGGACACTTTATATGGGTTTTTAAATATTTCTCTTGAAAATAAAAATAAAATCGAAATTATTGCACTTATTTAAAACTCAGACCATTTAAAAATAGATTATTCTATTTCAACAAAACATGGTGTTGCAGTCCCCGGTTCTGGTAGCAATCCTCGAAGTCTGTGTGGCTGGCGACTTTGGAGTCATGGGTGTGGCTCTGAGGACCTAGCTCCGAGTCTCCAGACCTTGCTTGCCTTTCGAGGCCCTGACCCCGGCTCATTGTGAGCTGACCACTCATGGCATGTTCTTCTCTTTGATGTAGCTCTGAGTTTTTCTGGACTCTGACACACACCGCTGCGGCCGCCCAGGGCACACACGATGACCACCCTCCAAGGTGGCCACGCTGGCCACCTGGCCCCTGCCCTCCTGTCCGGCTGTGCCCACGCTGGTCTCAGAAGTGCATGCATGGAGTCACGGAGCTGAGAGGAGGCCTCGGCCCCACTCTGCAGCTCCTGGGCCAGCAGCCGCTCCCGTCTGGAACAACGTGGCTGGGATAGAGTCTGCTTTTCTTTTTTCCTGGCTTCTATAAGCATCAGTTTATATCCCACACTGTCCAATGTGTGTCAAGTGAAAGTGTCCCCATCAACCACAAAGGCAACTGAAAAAGAAGAAGCCCCACAGGCAAAGAAACTGAGGTGCTCCCGGGGTGGCCAGTACGGGTTCTGGGAACGAACAACGTCCACTCACATAAAACCAGTTGTGGACATGGGCGTGGCTGTGTTTTATTTGGGTTAAAGGTGCTCCTTGTCAGTCTGCCGATTCTGGCCAGCCGACAGGGTGTTCTCTCAGCATTGCTCTGGGAACTTCCAGGGCTCACCCACTTTCGCGGGTGCCGGGTATGAGTGCTGGAGGCCAAGAGCAAACAGAAAGGCACAGAAACGCCCACCTTCCGCACCACAGCTGCCTTCCTGCACGTGTGCTTCTAGGCAGCGTGCCAAGTGCTGAGGGAAGCCCCGTGGAGGTGTCAGTCCTGGGCACGGCCCCTGCCCTCAGCAAGCAGCCGCAGCAAGAAGGCCCTCCCTGGAGACGGACAGGGCCCTCGCCACGGAGCTCGGAAAATAACCTCCCTGCTCCAGAGGGACTTGGGCTCCGGCTCACAGCAGCCTCCCTTCCTTCCATTGGTTCCCGATTCCTTTCAAGGTCAGATCAGAAACTTAGTAATTACAGTTAAAACTGACAGCAGGAAAGTGTCAGCACTTCAGAAAAGGCTCTGCCTCGAGGAAGATCTCAGACTCCTCTGCAGCAAAGACCAGGCAGCAGTGGGCTCCGCAGGGCTCATCCGCTAAAAATAACGTCTCGGGAACAGAAGGCGGATCCACAGCCTCAGCACAGGGAGGCTGACACCGGAGGAGGTGGCCGCTGGGACCTGCTCCGATGGTGCCCCTTCCCTCTCCATGTTTCACTCAAGTGCTTCTGCAATAATTTCACTGATGTTGTTCACTAATAAGGGCATTTTTACAGATTCAGATATTTCATATCAAGATTTTGGTAGATGTACAACACAGAATTTATAAGAACATGTTAGGGGCCATACTCAGCATTTTACTTAGTTAATTCTGGGCCTAAGTTAATTGCTGAATTATGGGCCAGTATGTGTTGTCTGACATGTTTGCACGGATTTGACCCTCAAAACCACACTCTTGAGAAAACCCATCTTTGAACAGGTATGTGTCCATCTGTGTGAGCAGGCCAGGTGGGTCAGGTACTCACACTGACTGGATGAGGGGCTGTCCCATGCTCTGGGCAGAGGGCTCCAGAGTCCTGTGCTGCCTGTGCCTTGGTGGTGATGCCTTACCTATTTCTAAGCCTCCTGGACCTCCCTCTCCTCCTCTGAAGGGCACTGTGCTGTGGCCAGGCTCTCTTGAGATGTGCCCTGGGTCTGGATTGTTGTCCTTCTGCCATGTCCAGGGTGAGGCGTCATGCATGACCGTGTCTAGCCAGGTGGCCAGTGTCACTCTGCAAGGGCGTCCTGGGAGAAGCCACATCATCACTCTCCCTGGGAGGTCTGTGCTGAGGGCAGGATGGCCGAGGGCTTGCAGTGTCCCCTGGAGGGAAGCACAGGTGTGTGCTCACTGTTGAGCACTGGTCTCCGGACAGAAGAGACCCTCAGGTCCTGCCCTCAGCAGCTGGGCGCCCACCGGCAGCTTCAGAGTCGCTTCCTTTTGATACCTGAGATTGTGACTACCCCCAAGAGTTGTGGAGTGGAGGAAAGAGGCACCTCTGACAAAAATCTGCCTGTGAAAGACATCGATTCTGTCCCCAGGCCTAAGGTGGGCACTGGCCTCAGCAAGGGTGGATCAGCCTCTTTTCACTGGTGAGGAAACCGAGACCACCTGGGCCTCCGTCTCCTATCGGATCAGAGCCGACCGCAGAGTCCAAGGTTCTGGACCTGCAGCAGGCTCTGCCACAGACCTGCATTGACTTCCCCGGGGTGCCCCGCGGCTGCAGGGACCCCGACCTCCTTGGCTCCTCGTGCTTCCTCACCTCAGGAACAGGTGGGGGGATCTTGTTTTGCCTTGAAGTTGTGGCAAAGTCACACTTTGATCTGATGTGACCACGGGCGTTTGTTTGGGAGTTTCTGCCACCCGTGTGGACGGAAAGTCAGGTCCACGTGAGTGAGCCTTTAGTAGGAATGCTGCTGGCCTGGGTGAGAGGGACCACAGAGGCACATCTGGTGACCGTTCCTGGGGTCACCGGGCAGGAGGCTCTGCAGCGAGAGCCAGGGGAGCAAGGCCCTCCCGGGGCTGGGCAGCGGCCCTGCTCATGGGCGCCTCCTGCCCACAGCTGCAGCTTGGGTTCCCCCAGCTCACGGGAGTCCATGGGGCTTGCCTTCCCTGAAGTGGGCCAGGTTGGAAAGCCTGCTGCCCCAGGTGCTGTCGGGCATCCTCGGGACACTGTGCGTGCTGACCTGGGCGCCACACCACAGCCTTCCACAGCACCCCTAAGTAGCAGGGAAGGCCAGACTGCTCCGACTTGGGAACCCGTGGGTCGCGCTGTGCAGCCGGATCGTGTTTCATAACCTCGTTTCCCTGTCAGCATGTCACCGTGAAGAGCTGTTAGCCTCCTACACATTTATAAATCCTTGCTCAGCTTCATCTCCCTGCTATTTAATACCACTCTGCTTGGCCACGGAGCTTACGAGCTTAAAATGCCTTCTGCGGAGAGAAACGCACACTTACTATTATTATCGAGGAGTTTTGGTGAGATTTCCCCCAGCACAAGCTGACAAGCTGCCCGGCACATTGTCATTTATCATTGTACACCAGATCTGTCAGCTAGAGAAACAATTTCAATAAAAAATTTCTGCATGAAATTACTTTCCCGAGAAGAAACTGGCCGCGCGGCTGTGTGTACCCATCCGTGTCTGTGTGGGTTCTGTTTTCCTTCTTCTCCTTCTTCTCCTTTCTTGTTTTTTTTTTTTTTTTTTAATTTTGGCTGTGAAAGGTACTTAATGTACCAAAAACAATTTGTGCAGACATTATTTTACCAATTGAAAGTGCGTACGCCTTGCTGAGGCCCCCTTGTCTAACTGTTGCTAATACATTTTCATGCTGTGCTCTTACGGCTTCATTTTACAGTTGAGGAGATCACCTACTCCATGCTGGGTTGGAAATGGGACCCTCGTCACTCGGGTCCACAGAGTGCACTTACCATGGGAACAGCACACAGCAAGATGGCGCGTCGGAGCGTCCCCAGCCCTGGTACTTGAGTTGCAGGCTGGGCCCTTTGATGGCTGCTGTCTGCGATGACAGTGCTCAGCCGCAGGGCCCAGCAGGGGGTCCTGTTCCTCAGGAGGCCAGGGTACACCAGGATCAGGGTCTGAGCATCCTGTGCCTGCAGGGTGCCCAGAGTCCCCTCCGCCTTGGCCCTCTGTCCTGCAGAGGGCCAGGAGGACCCCTATGGCTCGGTGAGGAGTCCAGGTTCACTGGGCTTCCTGTGTGAGCCCAGTGATGAGCAGGGACTTGGGCTCCGGCCTCGAGTGCCGGCGGCAGTAATTGCCGTGAAGTTATGTTTCTGGACAGCTGAAATGGAAAGATCAGCCTCGGAGGCCCTAGTGTTCCACCCTGTCAGGTTCTTGCCCAGCTGCGGATCTGTCGTCATCGGTGCCTGATGACTCTGCTCCTCCCCTGCCAGAAAATGGATTTTTTACTCCC